ATATAGAATATATGTATATATGGTTTATAGCTCTAGTTGATGTTGTATATATTATGATGGAATCCTCTATATTTTACCAAAATTATTTCGCCTCTTTCTTTTTCTCTTTTTTTTGAAGACATGAGTTAACCATTTTCCTTTCTAACCATGACAGACCCTTTAGATCTTATTTACCTTAGTTTGCTGATAGCTGCCTGAGTTTCTTCTTAGCCATTCAGGGTACAGCCTAAGTATGACGTCGTAGATCAAAAGTAGCTTCTCGGGGCTGGAGAGAAGGCTCAGCAGTTAAGAGCACTGACTGCTCTTGCAGAGGACCTGGGTTCAGTTCCCAGCACCCACATGGAGGCTACAACCATCCTTAACTCCAGTTCCAGGGGAATCCGAAGCCCTCTTCTGACCTCTGCAGCATTGCACAACATGGGTGCACTCACATACATGCAGGCAATACACTCATACACAGAAAATAAAAATAATAAATAAAAATTTTTTTAAAAAGTGGCTTCTCTGGACATGGTGGCGCAGGCCTTTAATCCCAGCACTCAGGAGGTGGAGTCAGGCGGATCTCTGTGAGTTCAAGACCAGCCTGGTCTACATAGTGAGTTCCAGGATAGCTGGGGCTACAGGGAGACCCTGTCTCAAAAAGACCCTCCCCCCAAAAAAGTGGCTTTTCTTTGAACATTTCTTGGGGTTTTCCTGTGAACTTCTGCTTGGCCTAAAAGTCTATATGCCAGTGATCTCAGCCAAATTTAAAAGTATCACATCTTCTGTTTACTTTAAAGCCACCAGTGAAGACTATAAACTCCTGGAAAATATGAATAAGCTAACAAGCTTGAAGTACCTTGAAATGAAAGATATTGCTATAAACATTAGTAGAAACTTAAAGGACTTAAACCAGAAGTGTAAGTAATTATTTTTATCATTTAAGTAATGTTCTTTAGTGCATGGGGCTGACAAGAAGGGGAGGAACATGGGATCCCTGTCTTCTGGGAGCTCCTTTTCTGAAAATGCAGCCCAAAGTCAAGGGGACTGTCTCCTGTTCTGAAGATTAGCATGCTTTGGTGGTATGGTTATTTCTGCTTCCAAACTTTCTGCTCCCTTGATTTTAGTCACTTTATTCCTAGAAAGAGGGGGGCTAGAAAAGATTCCAGTAAATTGATTTAACAATGAAATCCATAAAGGACTACTCAATAAACAGAAAACCTGTACATGGAAAATGTTAATGTGGAGTGGTCAGATATATGTTTCCATTGAAAAATGTTCCTTTTCGGGGCTAGAGATATGGCTCAGTGGTTAAGAGCACTGGCTGCTCTTGCAGAGGACTCAGGTTCAAATCCCAGCACCCACATGGTGGCTAACCATCTGTAACTCCAGTTCCAGGGGATCCGACTCCTTCTGACCTCTGAGGGCAGTGCATAACATAGGTGCACTTACATACATGTAGGCAATACACTCATACACATAAAGTAAAAATAATAAGATATAAAAAACATAATTTAGTTAAAAAAAAAAAAAAAGGAAAATGCTCCTTGTCATTAGGACATCCTTGGAATGAGCATACCCAAGATACTAAATCAGTAGCAGAAAGATTGCTTAAAGAATAAGAATTTTACCTTTAATCCCAGTACTTGGAGGAAGAGGCAGTTGGATCTCTGTGAGTTCAAGGCCAGCCTGGACTATATAGCAAGTTCCAGGCTAGCTAGGGCTCCAGGGAGACACTGTCTCAAAAAGACAAAAAAGAAAAAAGAAATTTAAAAGAAGCTGGGTGTTGTGGCACATGCGTTTAATCCTCCACTCAGGAGGCAACAAACAGGCAGATCTCTGTGAGGGCAAAGCCAGCCTGGTCTCACATAGTGAGTTTCAGGCTAGCCAGAGACCCTGTCTCAAAACAAACAAAAGAAGAATTTTAAAAAGGAAAATCAGAAGACGAGAAAGACTGATATTGGCACGTCATGGTTGTGCCTGATTACCCAGCTACTGCCTTCCAGAGACCTGCTGTTTAATGACAGCCATTCATCTCGCCTGGTCTTTATTGGGCAGCTTTTTTACTTTGCTACTCTTTGTCTCCACTTGTTGAAGCTACATAAACATGTGGTTTGTTTTTCAAGATGCTGGACTACAGCCTTATCTGGATCAGATCAATGTAATTGAGGAGCAAGTGGCAGCTCTTGAGCAGGCGGCCTACAAGTTGGATGCTTATTCGAAAAAACTAGGTAATTTTAATTTCTTATTTCTATTTTAATGTCATGAAGAGTACCTCTTAGCTAGACATGGCATTGTACATCAGTATTCAGGAGACTGAGGTGGGAGGATTATAAATTATATCCAAGTTAGGCTATCCAGTGAGATTCTGTCTCAGAAAACCAAACAAAACCTGAATAATATTTAATGAATAGCATTTCCTGTAGTTAATGATTTATCAAGCATTGTTCTTAATGTTTCATGTGTATCATATTTTTTATTCTCCCAATAATCTATAAGGTGATTTTTTTTTTTTTTTTCCCTCCAATTCCTGTCCTCTAGGGAAAGATAACGTGGTTTAAGAGGTTAAGTAACTTAGCCGGGCATGGTGTTGCATGTCTTTAGTCCCAGCACTTGGGAGGCAGAGGCAGGCAAATCTCTCTGAGTTCAAGGCCAGCCTGGTCTACATACTGAGTTCCAGGCCAGCTGGGGCTACAGGGAGACCCTGTCTCAAAAAGACCAAAAAAAAAAAAAGGAAAGTAACTTAAGGATACAAAGCTAGTAAAGCATATGCAGAAACCATGTTCCAAATCAGGCTTGTCTGAATACAGTATCTAAGCTCTTATTTGTGGTTCACATGCTGAGTAATCTTTAGTAATGTAGATGCATACATCTTAAAAAATGGAAAAATTGACCTATTGTTTTCTAGAAGGATTGCTTTTTCTCCAAGGAAAACACTAGTGCTTTCAGTGTTGTCCACTGGCTCTGGCAGTTATCTGCTTGATAAAAGAAATAATGAATTTGGGGCTGGAGAGATGGCTCAGCAGTTAAGAACACTGACTATTCTTGCAGAAGACCCGAGTTCAAATCCCAGCACCCACATGACAGCTAACAACTGTCCATAACTCCAGTTCCAGGGGATCCAACAGCCTCTTCTGTCCTCTGCGGGCATTGCACATGGGTGTACTTACCTTCATGCAGACAGTACACACATACATATAAATAAAAATAATAAATAAAATATTTTAAAACAAGAAATAATGAATTTATTTTTATCTTGGATAACTTTTACAGGTTATTTTATTTTCATCATTGATCTTGTTGATTGCTTCAAAAGATTGGCTATTTGACAGGAATAGTAATCAATAATCAGTTTCCCTGTTTATAATTTCTTAGTAAATATTTACCATGAACCTCACCACATAGAAGGCATTGTATCAGGTGCTTTTGAAATTTTAAGAGAAAAAAAAAAAGAGTCTGGTGTGGTGGTACATGCTTGTAATCCCAGCACCTGGGAGGAGGAGGCAGGAGAATCAGAAGTTCAGTGTCGTCCTTGGCTGCATAATAAGTTCAAGACTAGCCTGAAGGTATATGATACTCTGAAGGTATAAGTCTGAGCCTGATTGGAAGGGACTGGGAAGGGGAGAGGAAAATGGACATAAAAAGAAAAGCGTATATTTATACTTCTTGAGTATTTCTGATCTGCTTCCACAGGATTCCTGGGATTGTGCCTGGAAAGGGCATCTTCTAAAACTTAGCAATGCTCCTGATACGTCAAGTGCCAGTAGATCTGCCTCATTCTTTGAAACTATCCAAGCAGGCATCATTGGCAGGATTAGAATTTAGTGAATTTGTTTCAGCTCTCAGTTCTGGATGTGTGTATTTGACTCTTGTTTGTTTTGAGACAGGGCCTCACTATGTAGCTCTGACTGGCCCGAACTCACTATTAGACCAGGCTGGCCTGGATTTTAAAGAGATCCAACTGCCTTTTGCCTCCTGAGTGCTGGGACTAAAGGTATGAACCACCACACCTGGCCTTATTTGACTATTTCAAGCTGTGAAGATCGATTATCTGTATATTCTGGCAGATGAGAAGCTAATAGATTTTAAAGAATATAATAGACATATTTGAGCTTGCTTGGAAATCTAAAATGCATCTTTGAGAGAGCTAATGTTAAAAAAACATAATCCCAGGCTGGGCGTGGTGGCGCACGCCTTTAATCCCAGCACTTGGGAGGCAGAGGCAGGCGAATCTTTGTGAGTTCGAGGCCAGCCTGGTCTACATAGTGAGTTCCAGGATAGCTGGGGCTACAAGGAGACCCTGTCTCAAAAAAAGACAA